ATCTGCATGAAAATTTGCGCGTACACACAAACATTGATCGAAGGTCAAAATTCTGACGTCTCTATTACCAAGATTTAGCGTTTATCTTTTATGGCGCGATCCGAACGAATGTAAATCAAGGTTGCGCGCTATGAAATCACAGACTGCTCGATTTGTATATTATAAAAAGTAATTGGCGCTGGCATTAAAATATACGAGTGAACAGATTCGTCGTTGATGTCGCCGTCGAATGATGAATTTTCATCGACTTTTACAGAGAGTTATTAAAATAAATCTAAATAAACTAGATATACTTCTAAAATAAACTTCCGAGTGCTCGTTGCACAAGTCGCAATGGTAAAAGTAGATTACGGTAAGGTGAGGGCGGAAACAGCCTGAAAAACGAGTGTCAGAATTATAAGCGGGGTTTCCGGGCGAACCGGAACTTCGAACAATTACGGCAATCAATTCCATTTACGTAATTATATCGCCGATTGCGAAACGTACGCGACTCTCGTTTTAATATAGATATCGAACACACCGCCAATGCTCATTTCTCTCTCTGTCTTTTTTTTTTCTGCTTTTTCTTTTGCTGTTTCTATTCCGATCGCGGCAAGACGAAGCAATATTTCTGCGTACATGCAGCTTCCTGTGTTTCGAAACATTGGACAACGAAACGTCGATATTTCGTTTAAACGAAATTCGTTCGGCGAATCCGTGGCCCCGAATACCAGCGTGTGTGGGTGGTGCATGATATTCGAAAAATCATCGTCGTCACCTTCTCGTTCTTCCGAGTTCTTTTCTTTCAAATTCGGGGGAGGATTAACCATCGATATTAAGCGGAGATTTAACCAAACGTGCTCACCGCCGACAAAGACGCCATAAATGCACGCACGACGCCTATGCACGGGGACAAGTTGCACTTGCACTCGGTGCACACGCTTAGCTTGACATGTCCGAATAAGGCGAGCCAACAGGCGAGACAGAGAGGAAGAAAGGAAAATAAGGAGGACATCGACCATGGGAATGCATGCAGCGTTGCTCACTTTGAGAATCGATTCGAACGATTCGATCCCATCCAGTGCTTCCCCGGAAAACGAAGAAAATTGAAAGAAGCTCGTAGAAGGAAAATTTACGAATGTTCTCCGAGAAAATTCTCACAACACGGAAAGCGAAGCAATGACGTTTAACATCACAACTACCAAAATGGTCAAAATGACTAATTCATCATTTTTGTTAGCTATATATCTTTAGCAGATGTAAAACTACATTTTAGAGATTTAAATGATTTTTTATAAAATATATAAATAGTAGCTTGTGTATTTTATTGTTTTTTTTTTTTAATAGTTTTTCTATTTTTTTTTTTTTTTT